AAACAATATTAGTAGGTAATTGTTTGGTCACTGCTTACAATGTGATTACAATATAATGTTTAATAGTAGTTAATTTTTTAATAACTTTACACATATATTTATTAACATATACGATTTTTATTTTATTTTCATTTATCACCTATTTTATTTCGATTCGTCTATTGTATGCTTCACGTAACTAATTGGAATTAGTATAAAATTAAATAATATAAATATTAATATTAATCGATATTTTCAATATTAATAAGCTACTATACCGACTAAGCAAAATAAAGTATTACATTATTTTTGTAATTTATTTGAATATGTAATTTTTCTTGTAAAAAAAAAACAACACATTTTTTAATCGGTTTTATAATTGATTTATATTTTAGCGAAAAACTAATAGATACTTGTATACTGTAGTATAGCACTTTGAAGCATTTACGTTCATGCGTTTATAATGCTTATACAAATTAAGTGTCTGTAGATACTTTTGTAATATCAGTTGTATTTTTTAAATGTTGAAACGATCAAATTTCTAAAAATAGTTGGAGTAGTAGCTCACATAGCTATAATATGAGATTAATAAGAATATAATAATATTTATAAATAAGTACATATTGATATTTGGTTTGATAACCGCATAAGTATAATTCAAGACCTTGATTACATTTTTTCGTGTTTCCTGGGTATACTGAAATATGTGGGAAGTGCATAAATGAAGAACGAATACATTTAAATCATGCAATTTAACATTTATACACAATTGTTGTTCGCCTTCAATTTTAAGTTGAACCAGAAGTATATTAGATACAATGGCAATATAAAACATAAGAAACAATGTGTTCAGATGCTGGGTTTTAACAAAGCTGAAAGTATTTGGAGTAATTTTTTATTCGTACGTATAGCAAAGTCAAACAATTAGAGTTAACCAATAATTATAAATGTTAGATTAATCAATAATAGATATATCAATAATTACTTCATCAATTACGATCGATAACGGTTGGTTAAAGCTCAACAAAGACGTATTGATATTTTGATTGAAATAATTCATATATATTCAAATATCAATAAGATATTTGTACTCTATCCATTTATTTGTTTCAATTAATGTAAGATAATCCTTTATAATAAATTCATAGAATAGATGATCCATAAAAAATTAATATAAATATTTGTTTAAAGCTTTGGGTTAAAAAATAGTTAGAATTCAAATTTAACCATTTTCGATTATGCATAACTCAATTACAAAGCAAAAATTTCCATTTTTCGTGTATATCTATCTTTGATTCTTAATCATGTACCTAGTAAAAAAATGATTGTGTTGATAGTTGTGATTATTCGATATAATCTCATCAATGAAGAACCAAATAATTATAAAAAATATATACAATACATACTAAAATTATTATATAATTATTAATAGCCAAAAACCGAAATTATTATACAATTATGATTGTTAAAATTCAAATAACCATTAAAATGTTTAAAATTTAATGCATTTTAATTATAACAGTGTGAAGTAATAAAAAGTTCTTAATGATTATGCGGATAATAATTACACTTAATACCTATATTTTTTATATTTATGGGCATAAATTATTGAATTGATAATCATACAACGTATATAACATTTCAAAATCGAAAAAATTGTTTATTTTATTATTTACAAAAACATATACGTATATGGTACACATTTTATTCTATGAACACTTAAATTATGTTCTGCTCATCATATCAAGGTAAATGGACACCTACTTAATAAATAATTCAATTATTCGTGGGAATTATAAAACTAAATTTTTTTTATGTCTGCACTATTGAACCATAAGTTAATTACTAACAATTTTTTAAACGTACAGTTATTATAAATCATGTTATTGTTATTGTGAACCATATGTAGATTTTAATTTACACAACAAAGACATAAAGTTCCAAGGATTAAACATTTGAGCGAACTATCCCTTTGAATTGTATGTATCATAGAAATGTAAATACTACTGTAATCATAATGTATGGTAAGGAAAAGAAAACTAATACCTTGTGTTTAATGCAACAGTAGAGTACTTGCATACACGTGCATTGAGATTTTTGTGTTTTTTAAGTTTTGATCGAAGCAAATAATGAATTAATTTTAGAAATATGTTTTTCTTCTACCATAAAAGCTTTTTTACGGTAACGATTTCGTATTGAAAATGTACACTACATTCGAATGTGAACAAATTTAACAGAGAAACGGAAATTTTTCTATTATTTTTTTATCTCAAGGAAAATTATTTAGTAATAACGTTTAGTCTAGTCTGCGACCGTATGCATTCCTTGGGAATCTGGAGATTTGACATAAAGAATTTTTTCGTAAACGTTTTAGATTTTTAATAATGTATCTTGCCAGTTTATTTTTTCATACATTTTGTTCCATTAACATTTCAGTACAATCTATATAACATTATATTAACACACATTTACTATACAATAAATAATTTAATTAGTTGATTATAACTAACTATTCGATTTGGAAGTAGAACAGTTCAATGTGTTGCTTCGAATAGTGTTATCTAATAATTTATTTTTGCATAAATTTCGAATGTAAAAGTGGAAGTAATTTAATGTGATAGAATGTTATTGAATTAATTATTGATTCAAACGCATCTTTGACTATTGCCACGACGAGAGACGAGCAGCTAACGTTATCGGTAATATACTCGTATAATAGAGTATATTAAAAATACCTTATAATAGTTGTACTATATCGCATTTCAATCTGTTATGCACATTTGTTATTAAAACTTTAGTGTATTCTGGAGTGTAATAGTATGGGTTGTACGAAACTAGTGACTTTAAAGTTATTTATTATAATACGTTTTCGATGTCATAATTATTATTATATAATTTAAAAATTACAATATATTTAATAATGCATAACCCTAGTATGGATATATTCACTCACAGTGGTTTTTATTATGTTTCGAGCGTGATTGGCTTACAGATATCTTTTAAATTTATCATTTTTATTCGGTAAAATATTTTGAAATTTATTACAACTCACCAAAATAAATTCTTCGTCAAAATGTATTATTCAAACATCGGAAACAGTATTTGAAAATATTTTGAAAAAAATAACACATAAAATTCGACAAATTTTAAAATATGATTACATTTTAGTTTTCTAATTGAGAAGTTTAAACTAGATCAAAACAAATAACTTATGCGTTTATTGTAGATCATTTTTTCATTTATATATTATCATCAACGGTATTATTCAGAATTTTATAATTATTTATTATATCATTTATAAGTATTATTTATTACAATTACCGTTTTGCCTTTAATCCAATCTGAGTGCATTATCATGTCACGTACATCCACTTGTTATAGATTTATACGTATATATACAGCACACTAATGCAGTGCATTTAATTAAAATTTACTAAAAATTGTCTTATAATAAATTGCAAACACGTTATTTTTAATAGTGATTAGTAATATTATTAAAATTATATGCCGTGACAATGTATTTACTAAGTGATGGCGATTTTTGTAGTACATAAAATTATAATAATTTATTTTAATTACGATGCATTAAATTTAGATGATTAATGACACTTCTATACCGTAATGGGATTGATAATTATTACACATTTTAAAATTTATTTTTATCATATTCATTAGTACATAAAACTGTTTATTTGTTTTTATGCTACTTATAATATACTCCATTATGTCCAGACGAATAAAAATAAACAACCAATTATTCGGTCAGAAATAACTTGCAATGTAAATGATATATACATTAAATTCGTTTTGCTCACCTCATCTGAGCAAGATAATGATGTAATCAGTTTAATTAAAATTGAACGACACATTTTTACTGCGTATGTTAAACCTTTATGGTAAAAGATTATGGTTTGTCCAAACATGGTTGAGTAATTTTTGTGCTGGTTTTCTTGTTCACAATTTTCCTGAAACTACCGGCAAATCCTGTGAAATGACCTTAATGTTTTATATACCATTATATTAATATATTATTCAATGTTGGTATGTACCGTGACACTAGTGACAGTTACTCGTGTTGAGATTTTATACGGTTTCAGAAATGCTTCTTTTTTTTGCGATAAAAAGGAAAACATTTTGTTGGAATAATTTATCGTCTTTGACTTAACACGTATTATATACTAATATAAGTAAAATAATTGAAAAAAATTAACACCAAGCAGTAGGTAGTCACAATAGACGAGCATAAATTTATTTCTACTATACTGTGAGAATAATTAGTTATTATTTTTTTCGTATTGCTGAGTTTGAATCTTATTTCATTGTTTTTCAATACATATGTTAATTTGTTACGTATCATTTGTTATTAATTTAAATAACGTTTTGAATTGGGTCATTACCCGTATATTACTATCAATAGATCATTAATCCAAAAAAAAATGTAGTAGTTAACTTGTTGCTTTGTTGTTCGTAATCGATATACTCAAAGTAGTCAAGGTCGCTACCGCAGTAATGCAATGCAGATAACCAAACAATAAACTGTTGATACATTTTTTAGTTAAATTAGTGCTGTAAGCAAAGTTTTTTACGCGGATGTTGTGGACCGGTGCTAGCTGGAAATCGCGTGAAAAAATTCGAAATTCGCTGATGGTAGTGACAGCAAATATCATCTGTGGTATAGCAGTTATTAGAATAAGTAAATGGAAAGGAACTTATTGTCATATTAACCATCGAAACTTGCACGCGTATACTCATTCCAACAATCTTCTACCATTGATCAGTTTTAGTGCAAAGATCTCGTCTTTAGTCGATTACTTAACTTATACACATTTATAAACATTATAATAGTTATATTTGCATTATCATACAGTTAGATATAGATGCGTAATTACCTGCTGGATACTATTAATAGTATGTATTTAATATGACAGTAATCATCGTTATTACAATTTAATAAGTGTATTTATTATACATGTGCGTTTTAATTAAATTATTTTATTGACTTGTAAAATTTAATTTTTCAGATTTAAATACCAAAAAATGGATAATTTCGATGACATAGAAAGTGCCAAATCCCATCACCATCTCATGAAAAGACCACCAGTTGATATCGAATTTTCAGATTTAACTTACAGTGTACCACATGGTCCAAATGGTGAGAAATTGTATAAAATATATTATTTCACTGATCTTTTACAGTGGTTATATGAAAAAAAAAATCGTCCAAATCTTACCAACAATGTGGCTTTTTCAGTATTAAGGATTATCATTTTTACCTACTATATTGTTAGATTCACAACATTTCCTCGTAATCTAAAATTAATACACCAATAAACTAATATTATGAAGTAAAAATAATTGATAACTAAATTACCATTATATAACTAGATAAATTATAATTAATTATCAATCGATATAATGGTAGTGAAATTTGATAATATATTGCTTATGATTAATTATGAAAACTGCAGTGTACAAACGAATTAAATAAAAATTAAAAAGAAAACTTTCTTCCAGTTATTATTTAACACTATATATTTATCGTACATGTCACATTACGAACTAGGTTTCCTCAGTTAAATTATTATGATTTTTATTTCTTTTTTATGTATATATAGAACATTAGTAGGATTACATACATAATACACGTATGCCATTACATAATACATATCATTTGTTTGTATTACAAATAACAATAAGCGTTGCGCTGCATAAAAAAACTGAAACTTCATTAATTATTCATGAATAGAAATAGATATTTAGTATCATTACTTTTTTAAAATATACTACTTTAATCACATATATATGTATAACTTTGAAAAATCACGTCTTCATTTTAGCTAAGATTTGAAAAAAGTATAGTTTGAAAATATTATTGCATCATTTGTTGGTAAAAACAAAAAACTAATAACTGTGGATTTAAATTGGCTTAGTTAATATAGACTTTAAACTCTATAAACTTATGTATATTTTAATTTTTACTAAAAAAATTCTACATGTGTATTAAATGGATTTTTTTCAACTACGTGAATATGTTGTGACATAACATAACGTTGATCTACTAATACAAAACAGCAGAATATTAATTATACAATTCAATGAACATACATTCAAACATTCGTAGAATAATAATTAGTAAACGTTATATATTACATTTTAACAAGATGAAGATATATAAATTTATACATATTTATATATATTTAAATCACCTTAGTCTTTACATACAAATCGTCAATGATGTAAATAATTATAGGTCTCAAATAATAATAACAAAATAATAATACAAAATTGTTTATAATTAAACAAGGCATAAAATGATTTAATTATTCTAGTAACTAAATTTATTGGAATAAATTAAAAATTAAATATTACTTAATGCATAAAACTTAAATTTTCCATTATTATATAACAAATATAACTTAATAGAAATTATTAATACAATATGAGTAGAAAATTAAAGAATCAAAATAATGGTTAAATGCGAAGCTTTTTGAATAGTAGTTGTGATTTGGTATTACATTTTGGTTAATCGTTTAGTAAAAAAATATTTTCAAATCATAAGTCACAATATACATATATTAGTGATTTCTATAGTGAAATATAGTTAGTCCACAGTAATAATAAAATGGGGCTTCTGAGTCCATTTTTTACAATTTTAAAATATATCAAGGAGGCTTCTGAGTCCATTTTTTTTACAATTTTAAAATATATCAAGGAAGTTTCTGAATTATACTGAGATATACTATATTGTAATACTATTTTGTTTATACATTTTTTGCAATTATTTTTTATTATATAAGTGTTAGTTCGTTATGTACCATTGTTTCAATAACTTGTCCGCTTTTGTATAAGCTTTTAAATTTTATTTTCAATAAATCACTGAACCTGGGTTATTTTCCAGATTATTGGAAAAAACCGTTTGTGACCCCAATTCATAAGACAGGAGATAGACATAATATTACTAATTATAGACCAATTTCAAAACTGTCTATTATTCCCAAAATATTTGAAGCCTTAATAACTAAAAAATTATCCATAATTGTTTCTCCTCTTATCTACAGATATTACAATAATTACAATTATTATTACAATAATTATTACAATAACCAACACGGGTTCAGACCAAAAATGTCAATTTCCACTAATGTTCTACTTTACCAGTCCAAAATACTTAAAGCCTTAAATGATCATGTTCAAATAGATTCAATCTATACTGACTTTCAAAAAGCTTTTGATAAGGTCCAACATCACTTACTTCTTAAGAAAATATCTACATTTGGAATTCATGGAAATTTCTTAAATTAAAAATTGACTCAGAAGCCCCCTTTTATTACTACTGTCCACTTTTGTAATATCTATGTCTACACGATAGTTTTAAGAACAGAATAAATAATTTGACAAAAAGGTTAGTTTGTTCTTAAATTTGAAAAATATTGATAAATATTATTAAATATCTAAAAATTCTATCACAGTTACTCTTTTACTGAAGAAATTGATTGATAAGTATGTATATTACTAAATAGAAACAAGTATTCAAAATTACATGGTCCTTTCTCTTTTACTTGTTGAAAGGAAAAGTTCTTTCTGTTTGGATGGACAAATAATGATATATTTATATATATACTACGGGTAAAGTTCGAAAATGGGTAGTTTACACATTACTGGGGTAAAGTATACTTTATTTATATGAATAGCATATGTACATTATCCGGTGTGCTATGGATAAGGCATGAAGTAGGAAAAAAAACCAAATCATATTCTAAAAAAAAAATTATTAAGTTAATATTTTATACATGAAAAAATGTAAAAAATTAAATATAGTTATTTATTGGAACATTTCAGATTCGAGTGGCATTTTAAGTTGCAAAATATCTCTCCAGATTTATATTTACTCGTACATTTATTTGTTAAACAATTATTTTTACACAAACATTTTTATAACTTTAACACCAAAAACAGATTGTACATTAACTATTTCATACAAAGTTTTTTTTATAGCCGACACTTATAAAATATTTTTTTTATGGTTCATTATAATTTATTTGTTTTTTATCACGTTTCTTATTTCAAATAATATGTCATAATATTTTGATTCCTTTAAATTTATCGAATTCTCATTCTTTTCATTAATTAATTTATTAAAACTCTCATCAAATTTATCTTTTTAAGAAGACATTTTTTTTAAAAAAAACTAAATGATCAACCATTAATAGACCGAATAAGTGAATTCGAAAATTGAAAAAAATCGAAAAATCGCACTATACTGAAGTTAAAAAATATTATACAGTATCAATGCACACGATTTATCATAATGTATAATTTATACTCGTATTTTATTAATATTATCTGCAATTGATATTTTATTGTATTTTATTTTATAAAAACACTTTTTCCATTAAGTAAATATTGTATAAATTACCCGGTTGTTGTAACTACAAAATAAACGTTTTACAAAAATGTTTACTTTATTCAATAGGCCTAAGTAGTGTTCCCATTACCTGGGTGATGTGTACATTACCCGCTTTTTAAACTTTACCCGTTACATATTTACATTATAAAATTAAACCAAATACGTGTATTAAATAAATGTACCTCGAATCTAATCTACTTAAAAATATTTGTACAACGTTATATTTTCTTCGGCGATTATCAAAACAAATTCTTCATTTTGTAATAATATTTTTGGACTCTATACGTATTATACAGAAAACATGTTTAATAATATTACAAAGTGCTAAGCCATCAAATACCAATTATAGAACATATTTGAAATACGATTTGTTGAGATTTCGGTTTAATAACTGCAATGAACTATCAAATCGATTGTTTTATTTTCTTATTTGATATTTTTTTTCTTCAAAGCAATCTGGTGGTGATTATTTAATCTTGAAACGAATAAATTATTTATTTCATATATATATATTTTTTTTTAATATAATTATGTTAAGTGTCTTGTAGACGATTTTAAATAATGGTGGCTGTATTATAGAAAATACATTACTATAAATGTAACTTGCTTTACAGATTCCCAAGGCCGTTAAAGTTGCGAATAACATACAGCTGTATAGTAAGGACAACGACCTCGTGTAAACTCTTTTAACGAAACTAGTTATCCATTGCTAAATCATGTAAACAATTTGCGGTACAGGGTAATGTGGAATTGTGTGTACAAATACTATTGGATTTCGTTAGATTTTACATAATCGGACGACGTATAAAATTTTTTTAATAAATATATTACAATAATAATTGAATGTTATAACCGCATGATTTTTGCATTTCAATATGAACTATTTATAAACGATGATGTATTGAATATTCGTTAAAAATTATCGAAAAATTAAATGAATAATAAATGTTTTACAAACTATTATTTGTTGATTTTCTATGGCAATTTATGGTGTTGTAAATTACGAGAATCGAGATAAGCTCTGTTTTATATTTGTAATGACAGCTAAAAAATAAAACATTTTTCTTATATTGCGCTAATAGACAAATATAATAAACACAAATACAAAATAAATTTATAAAACACGAAACAGTTTTATTGTTCTTATGATTTCATACTTTCAATGTTTTTAATAATATTATATTTTTCATCGCATTATCTATTCCAGGTTTTTAAGATAAAATGTAGTTTTTAGAATTTTACATCAAAATCTCAAAAACTAAAAAAAATTGCTTAAATCATAGACCTTATACTCAATATAAGATGTATGGCATGAATATGAACTAATATAAACGTGTTACGTGCAGATTTAATTAACTGATTTTCCATCAATAGTACGCACGAATTGCTACGATTTATATAAGTGCTAAATACAACTCGCAAAGTAGACGTAACAATAATGTATCAATAGTAAAATGTAATTAGCTATCGTATTTATAAGTATCTATTAGCTGCTGTCCTATTGAACTTGTTCGACTTTTACATTAAATATTAGCATATAGTTTTAATTTTATCAACACGCAGTGCACGTATAAACCAGTTCATTAACATTGGAAACAATAATAATTAATAGTGCAGAGAAATTCGAAAATGACCTATCTGAAGTATCCATTCTGCTGATAAGATTTGATAAAATACATTCAATCGAGTATAGTGTGTTACGCGAGATTTTTGGGTTAAAAAAATACATAAAAAAAAAAAAAATCATATAGTTTTAGTATAGATAACCTACAAAACAGTTCTGTAAGCTGATTACGAGCATGTACTATTAAGCCAAATGACCTAATACTTCCACGCATATATATTATACAGCAACTGTATCAATATTTATTTATTTTTTAATACCGATTAAGTAGAGTCTCGGTGGAGGGACTACTCAATTGTATTTAGATCATTGTAAAAGATGATGCACCGGATACAAAGGTCAAACCGGTGTAATTTTATCGAATCAATAATAAAGAACCATACTATTTATATTAACACCTATTGTTGAACATTATATTTCACCTACATATACGTTTAACACACTGAACTTAACATATTGATAAGTTTATTATATTTTTTTCTGTCGGAACTTATGATAACACAACGGAGAAATTAATAGATTCGTTGTAACATTCAACTCATACATTACGTATTATATTACGTGACCACTGACCAAAATGTACGCATCTTTTACAATTTCCAATCACAGAACAGTTAAGTCAAGAAGGACTATAAATATACTTTGGTATAAAAAAATTTCACTACAAAATTATTATTATATACATGTGTAAATAATGATTAAATGAAGGTACCAACAATTTAATTTATACACTATTTTAAATTGTAACAGCAAATGATCATAATATATACGAGTATATAAATTTATTTATTTTTTTAAATACGAGATGCACCATAGTTAAAACACACATTAAATTGTGCTCAATTACCTATACTCAAATAAAGTTAGAGTTGTAAAAGGAAATGGAATTTGTTTTACATATTTTGCATAGTTTAATACAAAATTAAGTCTTTTTTTAATGTTTTCATTTGATATTTAATAATTTATGAATAGTTATTCATACATATATATATATATATATATAATTATTTTATAATTATTTAATTTAAATTATTTGTCGGAGCTTATCTCTTATGAGGTAATCATCTGCGGTAGGTAATCATGTGACTATTTGAATGATAAGTTTTATGAAAAATATTCTTTAATAGATTTGGTCAATTTAATGCCTACTTAGTATGTTTATAAAAAACCACTATATCTTACAACCTTAAATTTGTATTTAATGACATTTCTTATAATTCAATTTTTTTTTGACTTAGTTGAAAATTTAAAACTTGAAAAAAAAATTACCAGTTTTCTCAGGTCCTATGTGTGCACAAGTTTGAATGATTATTTTAAAACCTAATTTTACAGTACAAAAATTAAACAATAAAGATGACTAAGAGTTAATACCTATACCTACCTAAGTAGGTATAGGTATTAATAACATTAATTAGTAACACTCAACATTTATAATATTTAACACGAAACAACTAGGTATGAATATTAAAAGATTTATTTTTCTTGACTGGCTTTGGTCATACTTAAGTTAGACCACAGGCTAGTTTAGAAATTTAGTTTAATTTATAATTGTTATAAAATTCCGGGGCTGTTTTACGATCCCAAGATGTCGGGATATTTAGCTAAAAAAACTAACAACGCGCATATTATTCAATCCAATGAACGTATTTATTTGATTTCAGTTTAATACGAAAGATTTAAATATAATTACTGTAGTATTCAAATGAAATATCGTTAAAAACATTTTTTTTTTCTTCTGACAGGATCGAAAATCATACTACGGAGCGTAAGTGGCTTGTTCAGATCCGGTGAGCTGACAGCGATTCTCGGACCGTCTGGCGCTGGAAAGAGTACGCTGATAAATGTACTGGCTGGATATAGGTATATTAATTTTGTTGCAAACCTATTTGCATATACCGAGTCACACTGTTCGACACGGTTTATTCATATTATTGGTTCGTCAGGTGCGGCGATGCCAGAGGTTCTATCATGGTTAACAGCAAACCCAGAGACATGAAATCGTTTCGAAAAATGTGCCGTTACATAATGCAAGAAGACCTTTTGCAACCATCGCTCACGGTGATGGAGTCCATGAAAATATCCACTGATCTGAAGCTCGGCCACACGATTACAGATGACATCAAACTCGAAACGGTAATAAATAGCACTGCGTGTCCGCGATAATTGATATCATTACGATCTAATACTATAATATGGTACGTTGTTGTTTTTCTAGATCGAAAGTATTCTTGAGATGCTTCGACTCACCAAAGCCAAGAACACCCTTATGGAAAATCTATCCGGTGGTGAACGAAAAAGACTGTCAATCGCTCTGGAACTCGTTAACAATCCTCCAGTAATATTCTTGGACGAACCAACGACGTAAGCGCTTTTATAATACTCGAATTCATGTAATTGTAATTATCTTATAACGCATCGGTCATTGTATGACTATTATGTATACGAACTTTACTTAGCCTCTTGGTTAACCTCACGTATCAGTGATAGAACGCGTTTAGCCACACAATGCTCTTAAATTTTACTTCAAGGATTTATGCAATGTAAACTTCAACGTTCAAAATGCATTCGTTACTTTCACGTGCATTTTTTTTTTCTGTACACCACTTGTGTTTCTTTTTATGAGTAGGTGCGCAACGAAGGCATGGCATTAACATTTTGAACGATCAATAAAATGACAAGTGTTAAATTTTGTACAATATTTGTGTAGGTAAAATGTTTCAAAATAAATATTCGACTATCGGTTTGATAAATTGCTCGAAACAGAAAGTCTTCGATCGAAATGGGGTTTTTTATTTATCTTTTATCACGATTATTATTTTTGAACAGTAAATAAATAAAATAACCACTCCGGTTATTGTTGCACAATTTTCAATTTTTGAAAATGTATTTAAAAAAAATCAAAAAAAAATCGCTTAACTTCAATTTAACTAAACATATTTAACATAAAATAACAATACTAAAAGACTATAACACTACAAAACGTAAACGACAGTTTACACATTTCGCTTTGTATGCTTATAACCGTCGTAACCGGTACACATAGTAGATGTAGTGTAGCACATCGATATCGCCCATTTGAATTTCATGGTCAGGGGAAAATTTCAATACTTGTTCACCTTAAAATAAATATACTATCGCTACGATCGAACTCGCCAATCTTCTTTGAGTTCTTCTCATTCGTTTCGTATATTAGAAATCATCCCAGCAATATTGTTCCTGACAAAAGATGCAAAAGTCGATACAAATAATCGTTTGATGTTTTGTTAATCCTGTTCGATCAAGGTATTCTTCTTTTTCACACACATACATTTATTACTTAGATCTTTTCTTGTAATATGAGCGTAGTGTTATATACATCATTGGTTATTCCTCGTGGTATGTTTCATGATACCTTCTAGTTTCTGAGCTTTTTCTGATTTTGTTGAACTCGGCTATAGCTGGTGATGAAAATAATAAAACGCCAGTCAAACGGACCGATTGAACTTGTACCTAAGTGAAACGGTTTTAAATATCGTGATTCATGATTCATGAATTACAATGATTGTCGCCAAAACTTTTGTCTCGCCTAAACTATGTGTTTCGCAGTGGTCTCGACGACTTGTCCAGCACACAATGCGTGTCGTTACTCAAAGAACTCGCCCACGGCGGTCGAACGATCATTTGTTCTATACATACGCCCAGTGCCAGAATATTTGCAATGTTCAGTCACATTTACATAGTGGCCGAGGGACAGTGCATGTTTTCCGGAGTCGGTCAGGACATGGTCCCTTACCTTTCCAGTATTGGACTTAACTGCCCCAAACACTTTAACCCGGCCGATTTCAGTGAGTACAATTATCTTGACGACCATAAATCCAATAATATCACTCTAGTTAATCGCTTAGGAATGAGAAAAAAAACACTATTAAGTACCGTCGCAATTAATCGTTTCGTTTTACAGTGATCGAGGTCTGTAGCAGAGAGTACGGGGATTTTTCGGAAAAAATGTCTTCGTCCGTCGACAACGGTAAATGTCTGAGGTGGCACAAAGACAATTCGGAGACGAGGAAGCCAATTGTGCGCCGAGCTTCGCAGTACGACACGGTCTCCAAACATCATTACGATTTTTCCAGTTCGGGATGGTCTCAGTTTAAAGTACTCCTCAGGCGGATGGCGATACAACACAAAAGGAATATTGTAAGGAAATCTCGTAACAACAACACTGCAGCGGCGTAGGCAAGGGCAGTGTTCCATGGTTCTTCCCCCATCCCCTGAAATATCTTTCTCCTCGCAAAGCTTTAGCGTTGATCATCTCTTCGGCTTAGCATCGATCTGTACGAGCGAAACCTTGGGCCGATCTCAGACCCTGCTTACGTTGCCGTAGAACAGTAACATAATTTATACTCAATGAGTATTACCCATACACGAGAAAAAAACGACTTCGACAACGACACTTAAATCATCAACAACGTGTTTTGCGTTCGAATTTTTTCAGGCTTACTTGCTGTTCAAATTCTTCATGTACACGTTCATCGGCTTCGTGGTCGGCGGTATGTTTTTCCAATTCGGCAACGACGGCTCTCGGACCCTTTACAATTACGGTTTCATGTTCATCACCATCATCGTGTTCATGTACACGCCACTCATGCCGGTGCTGTTGAAATGTGAGTATTCACTTTTGTAGTCTCGTCCTCGTCGCGTTTCGAACGATTGTATTTATTGCGATGAAATGTTAATCGCGCGCGTGATTTCAGTTCCCCACGAAGTCCAGCTGTTGAAACGAGAGTACTTCAACCGTTGGTACGGGCTGAACGCTTACTTTTGCGCGCTCACTTGTTCGCAACTCCCGGCGCAGGTAAGACGAATCGCCTTCAATTTCTGTACCGTAACAACGTTACTACATTCTGTATTGTTTTTTATCTAATTTTCGATTTTCGATTTTCGATTTTTTCTCAGCTCATTCTGTCGTCGGTCTACATAGTGATAACTTATTTCTTGACCAATCAGCCATTGGAATGGGATCGGATGCTCAAGTTCTACGTCATTTGCGTGATGGTGTCCTTGTCGTCCGAAAGTCTCGCGTACGCCCTTTCTTCTCAACTCAACGTTACGGTAAGCGCCTCAATATCTGTTCATAATAACCGTGTCCGTGCAGTGTAAACAGTGACGCACTGTCGTGCGTCAATTCACCGCTAAAATGGACGAAAAAAAATGAAAACAAACATTAAGCGTCCGACGGTGGCGCCCGTGGACAGATTTTCAGGACTAAGACGAATAAATGGGTTTACACGGACATAATTTCATACAAAACTATTTCTAATTAGAGATTACGGTCGGTTGGACTACTGCAGGCAAAGTAACTAGCCCTAGGTGACAGTCGGTTAATAATCGCATTTGGCATGAGATTTCGAACCAAGGTCATGGTGTAGTAAGAAATAATTCATCGTTATTATTCGTAATCATTTCATCATGGCTAAAATTGTTGAACATAGGTTGAAAAACCAATTAACTAACCTAAACTATATTTTTCTTTTTTAACACTGAAGATAAATGAAACAGCTATTACGATTAGGTATTTTATAAAACTGACAATCCATAAAATAAAAACTTTTATTTTTATTGAAAAAAATATAAACGGTTGCGAGACAAGGCTTAACATAATTTTTAAATTTCAATTTTTCCCCTTACTTAGGATAAAGAAAATTATTAAGAAAATCGAAAATGTTAAATATTATATTTTGTGTTTGCACTCAAAAACGTACACTTAAGATATACGAGCTAAAAATACTATCGTTGAACGCTATGATATCCGATCAATAATCTAGGTGTGTTTGACACCTATGATTATTGACCAATTGACTTAGTAAAACATTTGCACACCGTTTTAGTTAAATGTTTCCAAATTCCATTGTAGTCTCTAACTACTCGTAAACCGTTATTTATGATTTCCGAATAACCAATCGTCACACGTCATTCATGAAAACCTAACTGGCAATACGAGAACTGTTACTAGATGCATATAGGTACCTATTAAAGCGATCATGAAGTTCAATATTAGCCGTGTAATTAAAACGCACGCCGAGGTTCTACGTCTTTTTTGTTTCGTTAGTCATTATTGTGTTGGAGGGTTTTTTTTTTAAGCGTTTCGTTGAAATATAATGACGATATCTATAAATTATGAGCCATAACGTTTATTCCAAACATGTTTTAAATAGCAATTATCTCCGTCTGTTTTCGAACACATAATACAAGACGTGAGAAGATTGTATTTACAAAACGTTGCGCAGATTGAAATTTATCAGAAATAAAAAAAAATATTTGTTAATGATTAAACCCATTCCTATAGTCTTGTAGTCAAGTGTTGTACTGTACTAAAAAATAGTTAAAATTTCCAATATTTTTTTGATTTAATATACGTTCATATTAGATATTTTATGGATTTATAGTTTTATAGACTAATAAAAAATTAATTAATTTTATAGATTTATATTTATAAATTTATATTATTCTATATTATTCAATTAATGTTTCTATAAATACAAGAACTTTGAATTTGTCTATAATTAATCATTGAACTCAAAGATTTAACTGTTTATACGTTTAAGTTATAGATTTTGATTTATAAAAAAAAAAAATCGAAAAATAATTTTTTTCAAAATATTTGCACAAAAAAGTGCTTTTTAATATAAAAGTCAATATTCGTTGAAAATAAAATCAAAAAATAATGTTAAAAGCGAGTTTTTTACTTTTTCCCGTTCTACAGCAAAAGTACGTAGCGATTATTCACATGAGAATTGCATTTTTTTTTTCAAAACAGAATAACCACTGAATAAAAATAATTCATCTGAAATACTATTAATGACCAATTTTCAATCTTCTTCTTTTTCTCCTTCGATGTTTTTAAAGGCCATCGAGGCCAATATTTTCAATTTTATCAAACATAAAGCGCTTAAGGCTTTCGGTACAGATGAACACTAGTGCATTAAGGTCCAATGGAAAACGGAATGTTATAAAGTCACGCGGAAATGCGTTGCGATGAAACGTGGGCTTTACAACTGCCCGATAATAATGATTACGTTGCATGCGGTTACAGAACAGCGTGTTCCTGGGACCGTGCTTGGCGTGCCCGATGATGCTGCTGTCATCGTTCGGGCTGGGCTACAAGGAGGAAGAGATCCCGGCGCTCATCCGGCTGGGCATGAGCCTCAGCTACCTGCGGTACGGGGTCGAGGGACTGGTGATGTCCGTGTACGGCAACGGCCGAGCTCGACTCGACTGCCCCAAGTCGGAGGATTACTGCGATCTGCGGGACCCGTCGGCCCTGTTTGACACGGTTGGCATGTCCGAGGTGTCGTACGGTAAGTCGCTGACCCTTCTGTGCCTGATGTTCATCGCGTTCAAGGTTACGTCGTACGCGATGCTCAGATGGCGGCTGAGCACCAACCCTTCACTGCTGCTCAAGCTCGGCTTCGTCGGACGGTTCATCAAAGCTCACTTCAACATCCCTCGTTAACCTGCCCGGCAACGGCAGTGCGTCGTCCTCAGCGCGGCGCGCCCGTGCGCAGACAATCCCGCCGAGGATCAAGGATTCCTGGTTCTCCGCGCAGCAATACGAGGGTCCGACAAGTCCTCGCGGCCACACGTTGCCGTGCAGTCGGTTTCGGCGACGGATCTCTTATGCTCTCGTATCATTACAACAATTCTCTCGTCGTCGTCGTCGTCCTGCTAACGCGCGGTGAACACGCAAACGATACGTACACGATTGTACATTATTATTTTTTTATTATCACTACTATTATTGTATTTTACTATTATTATTATTATTATTATTATTATTATGTTAGATACAAGTGTTTGAACGTACGCGCTATACACTCGGTGGCGGCTAGGAGCGTATCGCGTATAAGCCTGATGAAAAAATGTCGTGCTCGCGAAACACTCCGTACGCGCATCGATAGTTATCGATTCTACCGCGTTCGATTACGTACGATTTTATTTCAGTGCGTTTCAATAACATCGTGTAAATTGTGCCATTGGTCCAACGTAACAATCGTGTGTACATAACGTCCGGACGATGCAGGGTCTACGGTTTCGCGTACACGTCGTGCACGGCCGAGCGCGCGCAAAATAACGATATTATTGCTCGAGTGCGCAAGACCGCTACGCTGTACTACATTTATATCCCACGTCGTTGTTCCGGTGTGATTTGTTATGTTACGTTACAAGGGTAGTATTTAAAAACACGTGTATATTAGCAGACGCTCGTACTACAAACAAAATGTTATTAGCCTAAATCTGTGTTTTATTTTGTCGTTTTGTGTATAATAAATTTATTAGGTGATTGTATTGTATATTGTAAGGACGACAATATTATGCATATTATATGTATATGTATGTATACGATGTATGTTTAATGTTTTTATAAAAATTATAAAATCTCGTAAGTGGTTTTAATGATTTGTTGTACGAAACCGACGTTTTCCCAATCCTCTTCCATATGTTTATATTTTTTGTCCGTCTGTTTTTCAAAAAATACCATTCATCCTTATGGGAACACAGGGTTTTCAATGGTAAAATAAAACATTGTGGTTTAATCGTGAAAACGATACCATAATATGCAATACGATACGTACTTGAATAATATAATATTTTATTTGAAAAATAACTGAATTTAACAAAAATGTTTCTGAAATATTTAAAGAGAACAGAACTACGTTATGCATATTACGAAATGTTGAAACTCCCCATTGTTATGTTTAAAGCCACTTCGAATGCAGACTACCAATAATTGCATTCGCGTGTCAGACGACCGGATCAAGTTTTCGAGCGCTCTGAGAACGTTTGTGATGTATCAAACTTAATAGCTGCGATCGCATTATACCTATATTGTATGCAACACGCCAACCAGTCAAGCTAGATCGGCACGAAATTACTGTCGAAGATCCTTTCAAAAGACCCGACTGTGGGTGCATGCATATATAATAAAGTGCACCTAATACGCGTCGTCGCATTAAAGTAACAAAGAAATCGCAAAGAAATAACATGCCGTGTAGAGATAAAATGTCAATGACTTTTGTAAGACTTATTTCAAGGGTTACGGGGAAAAAACGATTTTAGTCAATATTCCTAAACTGTTTAGTATTGCAGTTTTAAAGTTTCAAAACTCAAAAATTAAGCACGAAATATTGTGGTAATACAATTTAACTGTCGATAAAATTGATAAACGAAAAATTGAATTTACTTTTTAAAACAAATGACAAGATGACACAATAACCAGATATTTTTTTTGTCTACTATCGATTTTCCCCGTATACCTTCATTTTTTTCTCTCTCTCTACAGAAGTGTTTTTGAAACTAAGCGTGTCTCAAACCGGTCCTACACTACTCGCGGTACTTGGCGAGCATCGCAATCGCGTATGTTCACCGGGTACTTTGACTTGTGTCGCACTTACACGACTCGTACACTTGCCGATCAATAAACGCGATAATTCATTATTCTTTTCCGACAACTGATGGGAAATTATGAGTCGACGAGTGACTCGGCGGGAAAAATAATCGCCGTACTTAACGATTAAACACCTCCTACACGATTCGTATGGCATCACTGTTGACGAATATTCGCCGAGTAGACGAGTCGTGTGGGACCGGCTTCAATTGCAAACCTAAACTAGTAACAGATTCAGTTGGCTATGTTTACAATGATTATCAGATAAATATGAAAAAAACATTTTAGAGCATTTTCGGTATACTTCTAGGTCGTCAACATTCTACCTCTAGCTATACCTGTACTCGTATATGTGTTGGTTGAGTACACGCCCAGTACCGGATTAGATATCCGTGTCTCGGTACGTTTGCTCTCGTCATCATTTTTTTTTTTTTTTTTTTTTTTTTTTTTTTTTTTTTTAATACATTTTTTATATACACGTCGACCGCTGAAAACTGTGCAGCAGCTAAAAATCAGTTGCCTGATGCAAATTAACGTATATTTATCACAATGAAGTCTCGTGGTTCGTAACACCTGCTTTTCGCAAATCCTGTACGTATATTATAAATGATAATCCCATCGTCTTTGAGAGTCTTAGAGGCGCTAGTCCTTTGCATAAAAAAATTCACGTTATTAATAGGTTAGATGTTGGACACTCGTTAGGAGCCAAGTAAGGTTTCTCGCTTTTATCAGAAAATATTGATTATGTTTGAAATCGTTGCCTAATTTGGTTTCAGGTTAAATGCTGAAAATGTTGTTATGTCCTATCCATGGATATATATACAGTGTGAACCGTTCTTTTTCCTTCTGAATGGACCAGTAAAAATATTCAACGTTGTTTCGAGTTGTCATAAAGGTGTGTTGAGATCACAACACATTTCGTACTTCGTATTTGTATTGATCGTTTGAACGATGTTTCAACGGCGGTGATCAGCATCCTCGTGACCACAAGATCTTATATAATCGTATTGGGTTTGGATATTCGTAAACATTCTAGTCACTTAGAAATTTTTAATATTTTATAACTTCTAAATAAAAATGCCGCTTTACTACCTACATATTATTATATAAAATTATTCATTATTCATTATATAACATATTTGATAAGACTAAAATTGAAAGTTAAGATTTAAAAAAAAACAAAACTGTATAGTAATAGATATAACCAGTTGTTTTGTACTTATTTTAAAACGAGGTACGTTAAATATCATAGGGGGTACTGCCCCTCTCGATTGATTTTAGGGGTTAAATTGGCTCCCCTTTCCACCAGTTTACGCTTATGTTGACAGCAGCATTGAAGAAAACAGTAGACGTAAAAAGTTTCGGAAATTTAATAGATTTTCGATATAGCGTAATACGTTTACTACTTAATATTGTTACTAATCCGTTTAAATAACAAATAAAAGTTTACTGGACGACGTTAAATCTACCGTTAGTCGTCATAAAACGGTCTCTATATTATGCCACGCCTGTGTCGAAATCTCGTAGGCGGCATAGATGCAACATGCGATCCGATTCACAATGGTTGCAAATCTTATGCTGACCGTTTGTATTACTATAAATCACATTATACTATTATTCAGAAAGCTATGAGATTGAAATTACTTGGGAATTGGCATACGATCAGATTCGTGTGTGTTCGACTCGAGCGGATTACATTTTTTTTGCTTATTCAACGGCCCTGTTCGTACGCGCGTAATAATGATTATCGTACCGGTTTCGCAAAAATTTCCACAAGTGGCTAATGACGTCCATAAACGGCAAAATGGCCGCATCGTCTGGGTTTCCTCTCTCTCTCTTTCTCTCTCACTCTCCTCATTCTTCCTGTTGCTCGCACTAATAATATATTTCAATAACACAGTGAATGACCTTTTCGGCAAGAGTACGACGAACGAACATAATAATGAGTCAAAGCGCGTCCATTGCTTAGGGTCGTACACAAATAATAATAGTATGCGCAATTACATCTATATTCGTCAAGCGTCATTTCATTCTCAAACTTTGCACCTATTTAGTTATTTTTTTCAAAAATGTTACAGTTTTCGGGCAACTAAATTTCAGCTCAACCCAAAAGTATTGTGTCTGATTTTTGAACGGTTTCAATTGAGACAATCTTGAATTTTCATTCTCAAGCCCGAAAATTATTAATCATTACGAACCAACTCCGAAATCCGGACTGACCTTAGTGCATTGTAATCGTTTTTTTTTTTTTTTAACTTTTTGCGATTTTTCGCTAAGTGATATTAATTAAAAAATTAAAAACTTAAAACACTTTTCAGTTATTATAATCGATTCTAGTAAATCGACGACGGTTCATTGACTCATAAAACAAATTCGAATGAATTATTTAAATTACCAAATTACTATTGACTATATGACAGCGCTTTTGATCCAGGTGAGGCAACTATAGTAATTATGTATAATCAAATAAAACCATGCAAAGCTATAATAATGAAAAAATATTGTTACCAACTGGAAAATTGCATTTAAGGGGTTTTATATAGGCAAATGTAATAAAACCTATCGGATAGATTATAATTTTATATCGGCTCTGGTGTTCTTATTATTATTATTATTATTATTATTGTTAGCTGTTGAAATGGGTGTTACGTTTTTTTCGACGAACCTCAATTCAACGCGTTTTATTATATTTATCCAATTATAACGAATAAACAAATATATTAAAAATATTAGGTATGTATTGGGTAAAATAATTAAATGTTATACAAATTTAAACAACGACTAAGAGAGATAATGTTCAAGTCTTAACGAATACTTGGAGAATATCTTGTGTTGGTGAGCTGGTGTTGTGTCTATAATAATGCGTTATGAACATTTAACGATAAGGACAGCATAAATTTATAAGCTAATGGCCATAATTGCCGAGCTTAAGGATCAATTAAAAAAAAAAAAAAAATAATTTTGCTGAAATTGGTCATTTGTAATAATAAAAAATAATATCAAAGTAGACATATGTATTTTTACAGTTAAAGTATTGAATTTCGTTATTTTATGAAATAACTAGGTAGTTCATGAATTATCTACGAATGAAGTGGCGTATACATAACTTTTATATGGGGGGAGGATCAGTTGCAAAAAAAATTATTATGGAAGGAAAATCCTAAACCTTAGTATCTGCACATTTCAATAATAAATAATAAAATATATATATATATATGTGTGTGTGTGTGTATATATTGAATGTGTCAAAATAATTATTTACCATACATCCTCAATATTTTTTTACTTCCTTATAATTTCCTTACATTAAGAACACTATTTTTTACAATTTCAAAAAGACCTATGGGGAGGATCTGACCCCACATCCCACATAATATCTAGTTATTCTATACAATTTTAGTTCGTTATATGTTGAAGTATAAAATACATTAAAATTTAAAAATTTTATATTATAACATTTTATTTTTTTTTATTTTAATTAATTATTCATTTGTACATACAAGGTTATTGTAGATACAGTGAACGCGTGTGACTGTAAGAATATTATTAAACTTTAAACCTTACCAATTTTATTGACAATCTAAATAATAATATATGTTCAACGATAATTTTATCTAACATAATAAATGTAAATGAACACTGCAGTCACCGACAACAAGAACATCAGTTTTGTATAATTTATTGCTATGATGGACAGTAAAATAACGATATTGTACATGTATGAATCTATCAATTTGACACATTAACGGAGTGATGTCAGAGAATGTATAAATTAACTAATTGAAGTATAGATCATATACATTATCTACACGTTTTAGTTTTATAAACGAACTGATTCAATATTTTAACTGTAATATATACATACAAATGTATAATAAAATGCGTAAAGAATGTCTTGCGTCGATTACATACAAACTTTAATCGAAATAT